GCTGAGCCGCTCGACTGCCTTCGGCTGCTGTACGGGCTATTGTAAATAGCCCGTACAGCAGCCCTTCGGTTCGACTGAAGCCCTTCGGTTCGACTGATCCTTCGGCTAGCTTTGTGAATAGACCTCCTGGTCCTCAAGTGGTTAAAGGGAAAATGTGGTGTGTTTTGTTTAGTCAGTCTGGTCAGACTGGTAGACTTCAAATGAAATGAAGAGAAATGCGTAACTAAGCTTCTGCATTATTAAAGGTGTCCATACACCTCAAAGGTGGCCAGACATGCACAATCTGGCAGCTCCCAAGCACACTAAACTAGTAGTTTATATCATTGTATATTTTTTGTTCTATTTTCTAATAGGATCTTCTTATTTTAGTTTTGGGTGCTTGGAGTCAGGCCCGGATTCTCCACAAGGCCACCGAGGCCCGGCCTCGGGGCGGCAGGGCGTAGAGGGGCGGCAGCGGTGTCCTTGTGGGGAAGTTCAGGGCGTCGGGCAGTAAGTTGCCCTCTCTACATTTAGTCCTGCTTTGCACAAGCAGGACTAAATGTAGAGTGAGGCAGCTGCTTGTTTGTTTACATGTGATCTCGGCGATGTCGCCGAGATCACATGTAAAAAGTCTGCAGCCTGTCCGTCCTCCCCCTGCACTTACCTCTCTCCTCACTGGCTCCGTCCTCCGCCGCCGAGTCTCTCCTCACTGCAGTGAGCAGAACGGCCGGGTTAAAACTAACCTTGTAGACAGTGAGAGGGGAGAGCTGTGCTCTTCCTCTTTCACCTGTCACAGGAGTTCCGCCACAGTGCTATGCTATAACTCCTGTATTGGAGGTGACAGGGTCAATAAAGAGAACCTGTCACCTCTAATTGCTATTACACATGGGATTGTTTTCACCTGTGTGATAGCAATAAAGTTAGGTGGAAAAAAAATTAATTGATTTTTTTTTAAAAATGAAATAAATAAAAATAAAAAAAATGAAATAGTTAAATAAAAAATAAAAAGGTGATTAAAAAGTAAAAAATAATAAGAAACAAATTATTAAAAATGTGTTTTGTAGACTGGCTATGTATTGAGGAAGTGCTTGTTAACATCCCTTCCTGTCTCGCTGTTTGAGACACCCCTTCCTGTCTGACATCACTTCCTGTTGGGCAGGTATAAACATACCTGTGTTCAGGGCTCTAAGCATGGGATTATCAAGCAAGCAGCATCTGTCTCCTGACTCTACATGACTCTATAGAGGAGGATACTTCCAGTCCTCGCACAAAAGAGCGTAGTACAACGGGGGAAATTCTTTGCGTTTGGCGCAGCTTAATGCGACATGGATTTGTGCGTTGAACCAAGTGAATTTCCATAACACCGCCCTGCCATCTGGTTGCCATTCTCCATTGATGGGAAGGGGGGGGTGTATTGCGGAACCTGGCCTTGGGGCAGTAGGGAGAGTAAATCCGGCCCTGCTTAGAGTGATGCATTAACTTATTTGCAAAGGTAATAAAAATTGTAACACAAATGTACAAAAAAAGTGTGCTCCAAAAACACTTTACACCATCACCCAGCATTACCCACATCCCCTGACATTAAAGTGATATGAAAGTCAAAATGTTTATAAACTATTTCAAATGCTTATGAAATAATGTACAATAGAATCTGCTTCTTGATGTTTAAAAGTTTAAGTTTCCTGCAGAATCAGTTGGTCTCCTGAGTATCCTTGTGTGTGTGACTCACACACAAGGGTGACACAGGCACAGCAAGTCAAGACACATCCTTCCTCCCTGCTCCCCTCCTTCATTCTCCCTCATTTCTTCTCCCTTCTCCAAGCTAGTAAGTGGACATCTGCTGGAGACCGCTCTCTCCCTTGTGATCTTGTACTGGACAGGAAGTTCAGGGAAGTGGAGCCGAGGGAGTTGAAGCTGTTCAGAAACATGATGACTGTAAGTGTTTGGGCAAAAATGTAAATAAATACTTTGCTGGGCAATATATATATTTGTTTGATTTAGATTCATTACTAAAAAAAACGTCTGAGAGTTTAATACTGCTTTTAATGCCTTTTGACTTTAATATCACTTTAAAGCATTAAACACGTCACCAATCCTTTCCCACTCTATCCAAAACTAAGAACTAAAAACTTCTTGCTGGCGGTTAATTGCTCTCATTGCTCTAAATCAGCGAAAGAAAAAAATCAAATTAGTTTCCCTCCGTTACTGAATTTTGGGCATCATCATTGCTCTTTGCAGAACTTTATTAAATCAATGTCAGGAGTTCACTACTGGACATGAAGCCCCTGATTAGACATTATTAGGACTTTATTATTGAATTAAGTCCAAGGGTTTATTATTTTCATCACTGAGCTACTGGACAGGAAGTTACTATAACTACTGCTGTATAAAGACAGGACAGGCAGCATAACTTCATATACATTACAATTTAATTTGATTAGGTAAGGTATGAAACATCTGAAAATATTACATATCACAGGTTTATGTAACAGAGATCTGGTGCAGCCATTCTTCCTCGGTTTCCTTTCTGACAAGTCATCAGTGAAGTATTAAATAAATATTTTTTAAAAATGTTATTAACCCTTGCAGTAGGACTGTCCCCGCACTGCAAGGGTTAACTGCTCATTTTTGCTTAGGGTCAAACATAACAAAGTTATACTTACCCCATCCTCCGAGCTGGCCAGCTGTGACAGCGCTCCCTCCTGCCTGTCCCGTCATCCGCTGCAGGAATGGAATGTCCCTTAGCAACCTCATGTCCTATACACTGTGTATAAAACATGATGACTCAAAGGACCTTAGACCGTTGCAGTGGAGGAGGAGAGAGGCTCCAGTGACCGGTCTAAGAGCTGGCCGGCTTGGAGGTTTGGATGAGTATAACTTTTTTCTTTTTGATCCTAGGAAAAAGTGAGCACTTTACCCTTGCAGTTAATTAATTTTTAACCAAAGTTTTAAAGAATTAAGGAAATGGAGAAATAAAATGGTGGAGGAGTAAAGAAAAGGTGAGCAAGTAGTGCTGGGGAGGGGAAAATAAGGAGAACCTGTTGCTTTGACCTGGTCAAAGCACAGGTTTTCTCTAAGCTGGCCCAGCTTGGCGAGACTTTCAGCGACCAACGCTGCTGCACAAAGTGTACTAGTAGATGTAATTATATCCCAAACTTCTCTACTTCTCCCTAATCATAACTTTTCAATCACAGCTTCAGAACATCTCTTGTGTTATGTGATCTTTCCATGAATTTCCATTCACTAGGGATGCACCGATACCGATACTAGTAATGACCCGCCTCCCGGCTTCCTGATTAGCCGAGAAGCCGGCTCCATGCTGATTGGTGTGGAAGCCAGCTTCCTGGCCGAGAAGCCGGCTCCATGCTGATTGGCTAAATATTACCCAAAATATTACCCAAAAACACGGTATTGGTGCATCCCTACTATTCACACCAACATGTTACTGCAATGTGTGCTAACGCACCATGCACACATTGGTGCATTGGAATGCCATTCATTTTGAATAGCAGCCCAATGAAATTTAGTTCCAGGGCACAATAATACACTACCATGTGTTGGGTTACCAAAATACTGCAGGTGCTCATTCCAGTCTGCTGAGGTATGTTTTTAAAGAAGACGTGTCACCTTGTATTATTTTTCACAGCTCAGTCACCTAATTCCCATTGTGTGTGCTGTTTTCTATCCCATGCCTCTGTGTGCAGCAGAAGCTGGGATCAAGACGGTAACAGCTTGCACTCATCTCATCCCTCCATTTCCGACCATGCCCTAAGACGGCGGCCACTTGATTGCAATAGAGACGGTGGCCACTTGATTGGCAGCTCTTTTAACACTGTCTCTGCACTTTCCCAACACAAGTGAGGTCATAGGAATACAGGCATCCCAACCTGAAAAAAGTAATTTCAGGGAGGTGCCCTTCTCACTTCAGGTAGGTGCCCTCTTCCACAGATAGCAGAGAAGCTAATGCTTCCCTTGCTATCTGCTGTTTTTTTTTTCTGTTCTGACACCTGCTGCTGTCAGAATAATAAAAAATAAAAAAACAGACAGCATAGCAATGAATAGCTAGGCTGCTATTGGCTATTTCGATTTGCAATAGTCAATAGCAGGTTGGCTATTGCACCCGCCCAATGCTGCTGTCAATCAGCAGAGGAGCAACTGATGGAGGAAATTCAGGTCCACCATTGTTGATTGACAGCAGCAGTGGGCGGGTGCAATAGCCAGTCTGCTATTGACAATTGCAAATCGAAATAGCCAATTAAGGAATGGGAAGATGGAAACTATACAAATAACCATCAACGCTCAATAAACACTTACACATGCATGCATTAGCTTCTTAACAATGCAAAGGAACCCTTTGATTCATACAGTACTTTCTCTGTCCATCCCCTTTCCAATTTTATGTTTATTCTAACTGACAGGTGCACTTTACATATAGTGCTTATAATTAAAAGACACTCCAGTTGCAAAAAAAAACACATTTTAAATGCACCTAATCAACGTTTTACTGTGTGAAACTGCCTTTTCTGGGTCTAAATCAAATAAAATATTTCTATCTTATGTTCCTTCTCTCCCTCCATACACATGTACAAATCCTGCTGATTTTGTGTTCCTTTAACCCATGTTCCATCCAGCACCAGGGCATGTAATGAAACCTCAGAGCTGCAAAGAAGAAATATTGCAGATAGAATTTGTTTCAATAATCCCTACATCTATACACAATGTCTAGTAGCAGTGAGGGGATAATTGGAATTTAATATCAAGGAAGACTACAGGCAATTAAACATAACAGAGTTTAAAAATAACTTTAGCAATGGACAGGATGGAGATTTTCACATTTGCCCCAAGGTCATCTAAACTGCTGAGAACTCTGGAATCTTGAGAATCTTTTTGTTCATATGTTACAGTATACATCAAATAATGTATACATTGAATGCATTCTATAGAAAATGGAAAAGGGAAGAGCAACATCAATGATAATAATCCATGGCATGATTCCGAACACTGTAGCTTCCAGTCCATTATCATACTGTGGACGACATCCGAAGGCTGGTGGTATCCAGAGCTGGAAAAAAAAAACGGGTATATTAAATTACTGGTCTTATCCATTCCTAATCTATATCACATTCCTTCTCTGGAGACGTTTGTGACCGATTATGTACATGCATGCTAGGTAAATTAGGAATGTCTGTGAATACTTATACAAAGTCTCAGAGCCAGCCACCAGATTTCAAAGGAGTTTGTATTGGGTGGGGAGGCGGTAGGGTGGTGGCCACAGCGCCCCCCTTGGCAGGACGCTTTTCTCAGCGTGGGCAGCAGGAGGGGGTGGCTACAGCGTCCTCCTGGGCAAGTCAACAGATAGAGCTGAGCAGGACGGTCTGTGTGGCATTCCGTAAAGCTCCTGGCAAAACATTAACATCAGTAGGCTGGGCAGAATGCAGCCACTGACATCACTAACAACATCTCTCCCCCCCCCCAGCTCGGTTGCCTTAGGCAGTCAATAGTGTAGGGATGGCCCTGGTCATATTCCTGTTATACCCCACCATTTTTACCATTGTTACCATCACAAAGTTGCCTAAAGGGAATTTCATGTAGCTATCACAGGAGATCATACCCTGTATGTGCGTGAGTGACAGCTGGCTCTGCCTATCTAGAGGCAGAGCCAGCTGTACCCGCCCCCTCCCCGTCCGATCCGCCAGTCAGCGCTGGCCAATTGGAGCGGGGAGGGGGGAATCCAGCAGAGAGCCGTGACAGGATCGAGAGGTGAGCGAACGCCGGTATGTGTTCGCTCACTTCCCGATCTACTGAGCCGACCTGTGACAGTCTCATTGTCACAGGTCTGCTAGAACTATGAGGTGAGTGAAAAGCACTCACCTCATAGTTCTCCTTTAAGGTACTTGAATGTATTTCTAAGATTTACCTCCTAAGTTTAACGTCACTTTAATCTTTACTGTATGTACTTACCGATATATTACAAAGAAACAAGAGAACTGTTATGTTCTTTAGCAGTGATTTCTTGAAGTTCTGAAGCTTTGGGTTTCCAGGGGGCCTGTGTATCTTGGCTTGTTTATGTTGGAAGGAAGCTTGCTGTTTTATCTCATTTGCTTTTGAAGTTGTGAATTTTGTGCTTTCAGCAGGCACCGAGATTTGACCTGTCACTATAGGTATCTCAATATGAGCAGTCTTCCAATCATCCTGAACATTGTAATTTGTGTATGTAATTATGAAAAGGTTTTGTATGTATTTTTCAACTATTACCAGGATCGCGTAAGGCAAGTTGTACCATGTATATACTGGATGACCCTTTGCAAATATTATGGCTAAGATGGAACCCCATGACATAATCCATGAGCCAATTGCAGAACCTATAAGCAGCTCAGCATCAAGTTTCACAGAAGGGCTCCTCTCTTTGACTGCAGGAATTCTTTCAGTTTTATATATGACAAGTCCAAGCAGAGACCCTATGGACATGAGGCTCAGGACCACTATTGAATAAAAATAGTATATGCTTAGAGCTGTTTCACTGTTGGCTTTGGAGTGACCGATGTTCAACAGGTAAGTTACAACTATGCCAATTGTTGCAGCTACAACTATGAGTCCTAAGAGGGACCCAGTAAAAACACCATCCAACTTCAGTTTTGTGCTGTGCTTGAAATGACCAGTCTTGTTCCCAATATTTTTCCATAGGACATACAACATAGCAGATGCCAAAATCTGGTATTCAATGTTGAATGGGTAGATATAATAGATTCCTTTTTTAAGGTTCATACACAGATTTGTGGTACAGTTACATTCTAAGTGTTCTACATCTGTTGGATAAAATTAGAAAGATAAGCATGAAACAAATGCACTCACTAACTCACATCATAGTTTTATTTAGTAGATAATAAAATAATTATATAAATCGAAGGTAAGATTTGGGAGGATATTTAATGCATCCCTAAGTTGTACCGAAGAGCCACATATTGCCATTCTCCTTTTTCGAGAAATAAAATGAATTAATATTATTAATGTTTATTTATTGTATTTATTGTTCTATGCTATCAATTGCAAAAGATCTACAGTTAGGAGTAATGACAGTAGCAGCTAATATAGGAGCAGCAGTTGTATTTAAAAGGGTGTTGAAAAAAATACATAGATATTAAATATGCATTTAAAGCAGCCCATGGTTGTTCCCCTGAAACCAAAAATACCACAAATAACTATTTACCTCCTAGTTAACTTAATGTGCACCAATCTCTTTTACTTTGGGTATGGTCACAGTCTTGTGTTTCTAGGATTCTAAAGTCCTGGACCACCCGCAGGCACCAAGACTAAAATGTTCTAGGGTTTGTTGTGTACCATGATAAAAAAAAAAGGAATGACTCTATTTTTTCTAATTAAATCAACTGTATAAAAAGAAATCCTCTTTTGAATAGATCTGTAATTTCTTAAAAATGATAGCATGACTGAACATAAAACTCAGATGTATAATAATACTTAAAAAATAAATAATACATTAATTAAAGAGTTGATAAAGTTGCATTCCAGAGGTATCATTGTTATTAAATTAACATTTATTTGTTTAGCAATAAAGAAATAAGCATTGTGATGTACATGAAAACATAGAAACAGACCAGGTTTGCGAGAATTACTCATTATTTACATAACATGATTCTAAAAACTTGTGAGGGCAAAATGCAGTTACTAGTGAAGGTAAGAATGCATGACCAAGGTTGGAATAAGTCTGCATACAGGATTATACTTGAGATGATGAAAATATTTATTGCAAAGAATACCGAGGCAGTTGAAGACCTGGGGCATGTGCACTGGGTGGCCCTGGTCACAGTGATATTTCAATTCAGACATGTGTTTTGATAAAAGGACTCCTAACATAAAACCTACTAAAAGTGAGGTTCAGAAAGCCCAGGGACTTCAGCCTTTCCATGTGCTCCTCCAGTTGATGGTCGGACTCTGTTGCTACTGCACTGGCCCACAGAAGTAAGTTTGTAAACACAGAGTGGATTAAACCAAACCTAAAATAAGGTCATACAGTTAGTAGAATAGATCACTCAATGGCTTGCCATCCTTTAGGCATTTAACAAAATCCCACCAAGGTAACCAAAATGATACAGTGTGCACCAGAGAAGATTAACAGAAAGTGCAGGGAACCCCTTATTGACACAAAATCCAGTAACTAAACAAAATTACATTTTTAAGCTTCTATTGCGAAGCTGAACCCACAATGTTTCAGGACATTTAGCCCTTGGTCAGAGGATGGGTAAGTAGCTCTAAAATGCTGGGTGATGGGTGAAGAGTTTTTAGAAGGCTGGAGAAGTGAACAATCTAGGACAACAGAGCTGAACTGGAAAGTGAGCTGAATTAGAGAATTTTTCCAAATCAGCTATGTTGGCCTAGATTGTTCCCTTCTCCTGCCTTCTCCAAACTCTTTACCCCTTTGTGAATTACCCTGTGTGTGTTCACCTGCAGTATGGAGGCTAAATAAATGGTACCATGATTCACTTCCAGAAGGTAACTTTTTTTTTTTAAGGAGATCTTTTGTTTTGGATCACATTTTTTGTACCGATGTCTACTAGAATTTGGAGGGTGCAGCTTAAATCAGCTAAATACATTCTAGGTGCATGAAAACAAAAAGCATGTAACGTCTTAAAGTTTGTTTCCTTTAGAAAGCAGCTACAATGTATTATGTTGCTACATATACATGCAGACAAAGCAAACAGGTGTAAGTAATTTTTATATTTAAAATTTTATCTGTCTATGGTTAGCTTAAAATCCAACTGAACTTTTAATTTTAATCAACTAAATACATTCTGGGTACAACAAAAGGTGTGCAAAAGTCTTACAGTTTATTTTCTTTAGAAAGCAGTCACAGCCTAAATACAAACGCCTGTGCCCTGCCAGCATGCTGCATAGAAGGATTTTTGCTCTCTGTATGGAAGCAGTGATCAGAGCTCGAGCACTAAACTTAGAAAAGCTTATGTTTAATATTCTCTGCTGGATGGCTCTAGCTGTGACTCAACAGGGGATGGACATCTGTAGAAAGACTTCTGCTTCCACATAGACAGCAAGGGTCCTTCTCTTCAGCATGCTGGTAACAAACAGGCTTTTCTACTCTGAAAAACAATGTTCTAACAAGGTAAATATGGACTTTTAAATAAACAAATAAATGGTTGCAGGACTGGTTGAAGCAATAGTGAACAGGTGATGCTTTAGAATGTCTGAGTCTGTAAATAATCCGCTCACCCCCTATACTCACATCCGGAACTCACTCTCTGCAATGATGATTGGCAATGATTAAAAAGATGTCCATGTTGTGAGTAGTGATGAGCCGAACACACCCGTGTTCGGTTCTAACTCGAACTTTCGAAAGAACCTCTCTCTCTATCTCCTACAGCACACTACATGGGGCCGCGGTGTCAGCAGCCTTATATAGTGTGCTGCAGGGACTTAGCTGTGAGACATGATTGGGCAGAGTCATCGTGACTCTGCCCAATCATGGCTCTACATTTGTACTGAGCCCTGATTGGCACAGTCTTGCACCTGACCTGCGGTCAGGTGCAGGACTGTAGCCAATTGCCGCTTCGGACGGCGCAGTGCATTGTGGGATGTGCCGCGGTCGAACAGACCGCGGACATCCCATAATGTTTGGTGTTCGGCGAACGCTCGAACATGCTATGTTCGAGTCGAACATAGGTTCGACTCGAACGCGAAGCTCATCCCTAGTTGTGAGCTGTTCCCTGCAGTACCTCTTCTATGCCACAAAATGTTCACAGATTGAAAATGTCCATTGTCAAACAACCCAGAAGACTGAGGACAAACTCTGACTTCTGCCTCTGAGGGGGCATTGTCATGGGGACCTTTAATTACAGTGCACAAATGCAGAGAGCATCACTGATGTCATCATGTCAGAGCTGTTCTCTGCATCAGTGAGGGCTACCCAGCCGGGAGAAGATGAACATGAACATGAAGAGGACCCAGCAAGTAATGTGACCCGACCCAAGATATTTGAAATAGGTAAATGAAATAAAAAAACAATTCAAAAAAGGACACAAAAAAGGGGGGTGCAAAGGGGAATGGGGGTGCTGTCAATTGGGGGAACAAGAGCCTGGAGCTGGGCTTTAACATTTAGTACATACTCTTTGTAACAGTACTGCATAGAGCTAGTAGAAGGAGGATAGACCCCTGAATAATTAACCTTTAGTGCAAATTTACAGATCACAAACATTGCAAATCATTTGTGAAAACCAGTGCTGGCAATGTACAATCTTGTGACTTCAGCTTGTCATTTATTAATAAATAAGGCCAGAAGTGTAGGTGTGAGCCTGTATGTATATAACAGTATTATATAGTTATGTGAACAAGCGAAAACAAAATAAATCACAGAACATGGCTATAATGTGCTTTACACATACGTAATCAGCCTTCAGATCAAACAATGATTCTTGAGTGTGTTCTTAAGTATTGAATAGAAATCCACAGTATTCATAGACTTATACCCAATCATTTACCTTGACAATTACAGCAGATAGTCCAGCTATTCTATTACAAAATACAATAAAGAATCAATTTCAGTCTCTTTAAGCATTCACTTATTCCATATATGAGTAAGCACCATTCCCCCCTTTCTACAGCCTTATATCAAATTGCAATAGCATTGCCCATGTCTTTGAACAAGCAGGTCCGGATACAAAAGTTCACATTGTGAAATGTTCGTGTCCCATTCTTTTCCTTGTCTTTAGACTGTATACTTCTTATTGCCAACCCTTGTTCCTTGTCCCCAAAGATTGCGCAATGCGCAATTTTCATTCGAGGAACCTACAATTTCTGAATTATAAGGACTAACTGTGGCCAATTAATGAAACCAAACTGTGTTGACAGGGCAACAGCAACGCTGCATCTATTCCCGAAAGAAAAACAGGCTTATTTACTAGCGGCTTAGCAAAACAGGAGATTTTAATTGTATGCATGTGTGAGATTTAACCCCTAATGAAAAGTGCTGGATTTGCAAAGAACTGATTAATTGGGGCAACTGTTGAGAAGAAGAAGAAGTTAAATCCAATGCTCACAAGTAGTTAATATCTTATTTGTAGTTCAGCCTTAAGAGAATGCAAAAAACAACGACATGCAGAAATTATTAGCAACCCATTAGATTTCACCTTTTTAACAGTTCAGAGGAGACAGGTGTTTGACTTGACCATAGCCTTAAAGAGTGTCTAGAGCCAAAACTTGTTTTTGTTAGTTTTGGATAGAGAAAGGAACAGTTAAAATCCCTGTGATATTTTTTTTTATGCTGCCTGAATTCCCTTGGGAGGATTTCTCTTCAAATCCTGTCCAAGAAAAATAGCGGGAAGTGAGAGTAAAAGTCTCCCAAAACAGATACTTTCAAGGCATGTCAACTGTCAGAGTCCATTCACACATAGCATCAGCGTTTTCCGGGCAGCACAAAAACGCATAAACTTTAACATACACGGGGGTTCCGCACATTTGTGACTACTACTATAGCTGGAATGTGCAGAATCTGCCAAGAATATCGCGCTTGGACTTTTTTGCGCTAATGTGTGAACAGAGCCTTAAGGTTGCCAGTGTGCTTATTTCAGCTCAAACCTTCATGCTCTCAAATGGCTGGTGTCATAGCTGATCACATGTGCAGCACTATGGCAACTGCAATCCAAAACAGACCAAGATGACACCATTGTTAGATGTAAAGGATATATCAACTATTGACATTTCCCCTCTATTCCTGTTTTGATAAAAACTGACACAAAAAAACTGAATGCCCCATCACTTTCTATCCCAGTTGTCACCAGGTCAAACAGAGAAAAAAACAGTAATAAAAACCAAACAAACCAACCACACAAAAAAATAAAACAAATGTTTTAACCCTTCCCTGTTTTATCCAGAACAAAATCTTTTTTTTGGTAGATACATTTTTGGTAGACATTGTTATTTTAGTACAAGGGAATCATCTTGCTCACCTTTCAACTGTTTTGAAAGATTTGATCACATCCTTTGAATGACACCATAGAAAATATACCTGCAATATATAGAAATATTAATATCTTGGTTTTAGGATTAGATAGATATTTAAAGGAAACATTAGTTCAGATTTTTATATATTAAATATTACACAACACAGATAAAAGTGGGAAATTATAGTGACACTTAAATCCTAAAAATACATTAAAAAATCCTAACTATTACAACATGTATCTTATTTGTGTTTCACTTAGCTCTAGATCCTCAAATCACCTCTGAATTGGTACTGGTCCTTCCTTCTGGAGGGTGGCTACGTTTGTTCCCTATGGTCCCTGGGTGTGATGTAAAGTAGCCACCACTCCAAGTTCGCTCCTGTGATGGATTACAATCTCATGTTTATTTCACTAATTTGTATTGAGATTGTAGTCCATCACAGGAGTGAGTTTGGAGCGGTGACTACTTTACAACACACGCAGGGGCCATGGGGAACAAAAGTAGCCCCCCTCCAGAAGGAAGGACAGTGTCAGCACCGATTCAGAGATGACTTGAGGATTTACAGCTGAGTGATACACAAATAAGATACTTTTTTGTTAATGGCTAGGGTACTTAAATGCATTTTTAAGTGTCACTTTATCTTTCCTTGTAAAGACTGGACACTGTGAAAAAGTTAGTACCTGTACCCATGTCCTCCAATATATCATGCAGTGCAGAATATGGTAAGATCTTAGTGCACTGGTATTATTTTATGTGGCCATTTTACATACAAACAAATCTCTACAGTGTTTCACTCTAATGTGGTGTTAACAGAACCTGCTCGAAAAATTATTAGAGTAATTTCTGTTAAAAGCGAAGTCCTGCCTTATTAAACCCCTGATCTTCCGGTGAGGAGAACAGACAGTATAGCATATATAATACACACATCACACATTATCTATTCAACAAATCCCAGCTGGCAGGCAGTAGTGTCAAGACAAAACGCCTACATGCCACCCACACAACGTAAGATGCAATTGCAAGCAATAACACAATTATGTGTATATGATGTATGTGTATAGAGTATATAGAGTTCAGCCCTAGAAATACAATGCAACTCTTACATGTGTAGTGTTCCTGAACCTGGATATCATCGGCAAGAATTCTCACTTCAGAACACAATAGCAGCTTTGAAATTTAACCAGTTATATAAACCAAATCCCAAGAATGGGTGAAGATTTTGGGGCCATTGTTCCTAGACTGTAAACAAATGAATGCACCAGGCCACTCTTCTTTTGGGGCTGGCATTTAAAAGGTCAGAGGGCCACTATCACTTTCACAAATTGCTACAGGAGAAATGTTGGATTGTGCTTTATTTGGCAGTTCTTCCAGTATTTCCCATAACCATAGATATTGAATTGTCACTTTATCATGGTCCCCTCAAATCTATGTGCCTAGGTGTCTAATGAAAAAAGGTGTTTTGGGGGAAATAAAGGTCTGCTTTGAATTTCAAATAACCCCCCTGCCCTAGCATGGCACTATAGAGTAGTCCAGTAGGGAGTTCCTGCCTTTTAGAAGGAAAAACAGTCCATTGTTGACTGGCAAACAAGCTGCTGTCAGTAAAGCGGGAGGGCTCAAACACTTTCTGAGATACTAGTGTTGCACTGGGCTGGTATGTCTTTGGATGGGGAGTAGGAGGGTGTCAGGCCCTCTAAGAAGCAGCTGCATCAGCCAAAACATATGAAAATCCCTAATTTATTTATTGAAAAATTGTATTATTATTGTAATATAAAGTAATTACAGTTTTATTATAAGGGGGAAAGCAAAGCAGAGCCCTCTTAAAACTCAAATTATCTGCATGTCACACATCCATCACAATTCCAAAAAATATCGTTTTTGGATAGCGGGAGGAACAATGATAATCATTCCTTTATGCTCCTACGCCAACTGTGTAGGTTTTTTGGTTCTTTTTAGCCCGCCTCACCATAACCCGTCTTAACATGTTCTTATTCACATGGTCTGAATAATAACGGGATACTAAGGGGGTTACTCACAAAGCTGCCGAAGGCAGCAGAGTGAATAACCCAGCCGAAGTGAAGTGAGCCAAACTACGTTCGGCTATTCACTCTGGCTCAGTACGGCTGATTTCAGCCGTACATCGGCTGCCTTCGGCTGCACTTAATTCAGCCGAACATGCAGAGTCGAAGTGCAGAAGGACTGCAGAAGGACTTCGAATCAGCCGATCCAACATCTGGTTCGGCTGAGCCGAAGCTCCGGCAGCTCACTCGCTGCCCTTCACCCCTATTCACATAGCGGCATTCGGCTTGGCTTTTCTATTCGTACCTCCGTAGTACCGAGCAAGATAGAAAATAGTGAAAATAGTAGGGGAAAAAGGTAAAATGTTTTATGAAAATAAATAGTGAAATTTAAAAATAAAGATATTTAAAAAAGATTGGGCGGAGCTAGCAGTGACAGCTAGTTCCACCCAACTTTTTCCTATTGGCCGGCACCTGCTGGAGTCTTCTAGCAGGTCCTGGCCAGTGAATAACAACTGGGCGGAGCCGGCCATGGTGTAACGGCCGGCTCCGCCCAGTTGTTATTGTTTCATGACAGATCAGCACCCCCAAGTCAATTGGGGATGCTGATCTGTCATTAAAACTGGGCAGAGCCAGCCATGAGATCACAGCTGGCTCCGCCCAGCTGTCATTTGCGGGGCTTACGGCTTTGAGCAGGCCGTTCGCCCCGCTGCTGCTGCCAATTCGGCTCAGTCGAGCCGAAGCATATGCCTTCGGCTCGGCTGAGCCACTCGGCCGCCTTCGGATGCTGTACGGGCTATTGTGAATAGCCCGTACAGCAGCCCTTCGGGTCGACTGAACCAAAGGGCTTCGGCGGCCAAAAAGAGCCAAAGGATCAGCCAAAGCTATGGCTGTATCCTTCGGCTCCTTCGTGAATATCCCCATAAGCTTTCCTATTCTTGAAGCTGTATCACAATTAGGGAATAGTGTTTTGACTCCATTTCTTATATGCTCCGGAAAAGCATTACCTCTTCAGTAGAACAGCTATGATACGTAAAGGGCTGTGCAAATTTGTTTTGTATGAAAGGTTTAAAAAACGATAATGCAGAAGAAACTATACCACTGAAACATGAGTGTAAAGCATAATCACCTTGTTGCCTTTCCTCCTTCCTACTCTTTCAAGCAGGTGAGAGCTGAGAGACAGACAGATAGCAAAATAATTTTCTAGGAGGTTAAGGAGGGCCGTAAAAATTCTTGAAAACTTCAGCCTGTTATATTCCCTTTATTGGTGTATAAAAGTTCATAAAACAATATCCAATGAGCTTTAGGGATCTAATGCACCCCCTTCATCTGGGTTTTTGATATTATTACATCTTTAAGCCGTGGGGACTGAAATCAGTGTCATGGATCTGTTGGAGTATATGTTCCAACCTGTAGTGGCATACACATTGTTTTATGAAAATGTATTTACCAATAAAGGTAATTTTTGTTTTTTTTACCAGTTGTAGTGTTCAAGACTTTATTTATGGTGCTCCTTGCCCACCTCCAAAACTCTTTCATGTTTAAAGGGACCCAATTCCCCAGCATTCCATGAGCTGAGCTGCCACAGATCATATATTCTAATACCATGTCAAATCCAGGTACTTACATTGCTTGCAGTCAAAAGTACATTTAATGATGTATTAATGAATACAGAGCTACCATAATATGTGTTATTTATATCTGTCTGGAGTTTAGCTTTAAAGGGAAACTGTAATAGTTAATGTAATGTAACTGTAATGTAACTGTAATAATATTTGTTATCATTTGTATAAAATATTTATTTAATAAATCAACATTTCATTCCGGGGACTTCTATGACAGTGCATAAGAAATAAGCAAGCCCTGCACTGCCTGCATGTTTTTTGGCATGCAGGCAGTGCTTTTTAAACTGACTAGTTAGGATGTTCCCATATTTACTATAGGAGTAGAAAGGTGTCTGCAAATCAAATCTATTTGCTAGCACAACAGTCACAGAAAAAGCACTTAAAAAGTCTTCCCCATTGACCAAAAAACACAAAAGACAACGTGTAACACAACATAAAAAACATTTCTTCGGGCACCTATGTGCCCCTTTGAAATTTACTTTAAATTGACTTTTGGTCAATGCTGACAGAGCAACCTACTTTTTTTTTCAACGCACTTTTGGGGGCGGGGTGGGTCGGGATACCTGAGCGCTCTAGTTCTTCTCTCCAGAGGAGTCGTAAAAGAATAGCGACTAGGGGCTTCTATCGATCTGTGTGGGAGAGTGAGTATGAATCGGGGTATTGGAAAGAATCAGTACAGCCACGTGGATTTAATGGCTTCCTGTAGAGCTGATATACGTATAGCTACACATAATGCTCAAGGCCTGAACTCGCCAGTTAAGCGGCGAGTAGCCTTTAATCATTATCACTCTCAAAAAATAGACGTGATATTTCTTCAGGAAACGCATTTCCCTAACAGTTACAACCCATCCTTTTTACATAAATATTATACTCAGTACTACTTTGCCAGTGCGGCAGATAAATCCAAAGGGGTGGCTATCTTGTTCGCTAGGCATATTTTGTTCCAGTTACAGTTAGAAGTTAAAGATCCTGGAGGACGTTGTTTATTGCTGAAAGGCACTATCGGGGAGCATTTGTACACGTTTATTTCCTATTACGCCACTAATGTTGCCCAAATCCCTTTCTTCAGGCATCTCCTTTCTACTCTCTCCCCTTATATAGAGGGTACAGGGATATTAGCTGGAGACTCTAATATGGCCTTGGACTTTAAAAATGATAAATCCCATCCCTCGGGCACCAGATTAAAACATCCGCCTAAGAGTGGACTGAGATTGGCAAGGCTCCTTCACTCGCACCACTTAGTAGATGTGTGGCGTGAATGTAACCCCTCCACCAGGGACTACACTCACTTTTCCCATGCTCACTCTACGTATGCGCGAATAGATCATATCTTCGTTCCCCAACGGATGTTAGCAAGCATTAGATCTGTGAAAATTAGAGAGGTTTCTTGGTCGGACCATGCTTTAGTAATGACCTCATCGTTA